ATTACCGACCGGCTGCGCTACTGAGGTTTTACATGGTTTCTCTCAGTACACGCCAAATGGGCGCAGTACAGAAAGTCGGCCCATGCTACCGCAAAAATAATGAGAGGATAGTAGGAGAGGCTAATGAGAGGATAGTAGGAGAGGCTAATGAGAGGATAGTAGGAGAGGCTAATGAGAGGATAGTAGGAGAGGCTAAAGGCTAAGACGAAGGGGAGCCTATCAAACCATGGTAACAATGGTAATAGGAAAAGGAAAAATGTGAAAATAAAAAAATTATAACGGTGACGTACCATTTTATGCATATTGTACTCATCCTGTTGCTCCAACCAATTCCTGACATCGTTACGTTTGCGAATATTTTGTAGATTACGGGCCCCAGCAAATGCAGCGGGGTGATTAGGATTGTAATAAATGTCTACTAAGTGGTTCACTTTCGCAGTTTTACCCATCGTATTTTCAGGGACCCACCGCCTTGAGTACTACTGATGCTATTGTACGAGTCGTCAGTGAATTCTTCTTGTATAGGGTTTATAAACTGTTGATGCCGCTGTCCGTTACCTCAAGGACTCGACGACTCGATATTGACAGTTGATCGTAACAACTCTTCGTTACCAATGAACTCCTGAGGACCATTATACGCTTTTAGTACCTTACCAAATAACTTTCTCCCAACAGCCATTTTCGTCTTTCGTGACCGCATTGCCTCGTTAATAAGATCTACTATGTTTGAATTTTTGATAAGTGCCCCGTTGATGCTTACCACACCTTTTTCTTCCCAAGATATAACCTTTTTTGGCATGGCTTGCAGTTTGCGGAAGAGTGCTGCAGCGTTCTTTCGGTATCTTTTCGGTACACTTTCAATTATTGACCTTGATTGAATAATATTATCAGTGTAATCATGTATTCGAGAGCTAGAAAAACGGGGAAGGTCTGGTGTAATTGGAGAAAGGTTTTGGTAAGATCATTCTATTGAGTAAGATAACGTCGTAAAATCTGTTGATATGCGTTCCATTTCTCACGTTCATCAGTGTGCGAGTCTGATTCCAGGATTTCTTTCATTTCATTATCTAGACGTGTCAAGGTTGTTGCCTGTGTCTGTACACTTTTCTGCGCAGCAACACGATTATCAGGCACCACGAGCATCTGACCCCTGTCATCAGTAATTGTACCAATGCTGTCCTCCGGAACAAGTACCATCTTTCGCGCATACTCCATCTCTTTGATTGTCTTGCTCTTACTATTTACTCATGAGATTAGAAACCAAACCACCGAGTATAGGTGCTAGAAGCAGAGGTAGGAACCCTCCTATTTGAACGATGATCTTTTTCTTGCTTCATAGACACTTCGTACCAAACGCCAAATCACGAAGTACTTTTTTATACGGTTGTAATTTATCTTTCTGAGATTCACGAATTGGTATATTACCTCGTAAAATGTTCAATGCGCACTCACATATACACCATATTAGTCCCGTATCAGCTTTTCTAAGTAACGCCTGTCGCTGTTCCGTCAATTTTTTACTGGGTGTACCTCGCGCAGCCATGGTACAAGAAATACTGATCCGTGTATTGATTAATATTTTTGATTTATGCCTTTCCGTGGTACGTACACGAACTGTTTTGTGTCGTTTGGGAAGATAGAACTACGTACTCGATAATCTTCTGGCGTGGATTGTTTCAGGTCTATTAGTATACAGAGTGTCCCAGAAGTACATGCTAATCATTAACCAGCATGTACACGGGGTGATTCTGAACCGAAAAGTACTTTTCCACTTTTGGATCAGAAGGACCCCCCCGGACATATTGGGGTAAATACGAGAGCCAATGAGGCTGCAGCGTTAAACGGCAGTACGTCCGTGTAGCTCCGCACACACGCATGGCCGACACCCCTTCCAGGCAGCGGGCTACGCTTTTACCTTCGCCCGTGAGTGAGAGAGCATTATCATCGATTCTCTCTTTCGCTGTCTCGCTTCTCTTCAGCGAAATGTTTTTGCAATAACCTATTACACAATTAGGTTTCTGGGATTTTTCCATTGATTATTATTTGTTACAAATTGAATTTACAACAAGATAATCTCATGGAAAAATCACATAGGCCCAATTGTTTATTTAATAATTGCCATTAACTGCTTAAAAGTTTTTGAAAGTTATAAAAAAAACGATGGGTCGTACGTCCTTTTTCCAACAGACATTTTTTGTTGCAAATTCGATTTGCGACAAAAAATAATCAATGGAAAAATCTCCGAAACCCCATTGTTTATTAGAAAATTGATGAAGAGCGTGTTTCTACCGATTAATCCGAAAATCACAGCGATCCCTCCGTCCATTTGTGGGGCAATTGTTTAATTATTAATTATCTCATCAACCATGAGAGCTAGCAAATTTTATCGTAAATCTTTTTTTTTGTCAATGAAATTTAAAAAAAAAAGTGTCCTGATAACATTTGCAAAAATTCTCGGTTTATGAGATAATTAATAATGAATTAATTGTTCGACAAATGGCAAGGGGATTGCCCACGATTTTCCCGAAAATTCCCGCTGGTGCTCCTGTTTTTGCCGCTATCTTTTAAACAATTAGGTTTCTGGGATATTTCCATTGATTATTATTTGTTGCAAATTGAATTTGCAACAAGATAATCTCATGGAAAAATCACATAGGCCCAATTGTTTATTTAATAATTGCCATTAACTGCTTGGAAGTTTTTGAAAGTTATAAAAAAAACGATGGGCTGTACGGCATTTTTCCATCAGACATTTTTTGTTGCAAATTTGATTTGCGACTAAAAATAATCAATGGAAAAATCTCCGAAACCCCATTGTTTATTAGAAAATTGATGAAGAGCGTGATTTTGGAAGGTAGGGAAAATGACAGTTTTACGTTACAAATGATGTGGTGGCCCTGAAAAGGGCCGATTTTTTTTGCTCCATCGGGAGAAGGTACGACGAAGGGAGGTTCTTGCTACAGCAAGTTTTTGACGTGGCCTCCACCTGCATCAAGGTACAGCCTCGCCCTCCTCAGGAGATTCCCCCTCATGGCCTCCAGCTCATCAGGGGTGATAGCTGCAACTGCAGCGTGCAGCAGTCTGACGACTTCTTCCTGGGTTGCTGGATGATGAGCGTATATCCGCGACTCCACGTGGAGTCCCCCACAAGAAAAAATCCAGCGGAGTGAGATCTGGAGATCGCGGAGGCCACGCCACCGGTGGTTGATGGTTTCCACCTCTATCGCGGTCGATCCTGTTCCCGATCCAGCGATCCGGGAACCACTCATTCAGGGCCTCCACCACAGCGACACAGGTGTGAGCTGGAGCACCATCGTGCTGAAACCACACATCCCTCTCCGCAGGACCGTCCCCGATGACATGTACGAGACGATCTTGTAAAAATCCCAAGTAATTGCCACCCTGAAACAAGAAAATCAAAATTAATTTTAAACAATAATTTTTCTTAGAGTAGCTGATAAACATCACTTACGTCGAAACGTCCTGGAAGGTGATGAATGTCGACTTCATCACCAATGATCCCTCCCCAGATATTCATATGGTCCCAACGATACTGGAAATTCGTTTCTTTCGTGAGACGAGGATTTTCAAAAGCCCAATGATACTCATTGTGCTGATTGAGAATCCCCTTTCTCGCGAAAAGTTTCTCATCCGCCCAGCAAACGTTGCGTATGAACTCTGGCTCGCGACTTCTGTCGAGGAGCCATTGGCAGAAGTCCACACGCTTTGGGAAGTCCTCCGGCTTCAGCTCGTGGACCGGGGTAGGTTTCCAGGGATGCAAGCCCTCAACCCTCAGCACGCGATGCACCGTGGTACGGGTGGTTCCGAGGGCCGATGCAATTCCTCGGACGGACAACTCCGGAGAGTTCTCGACCGGCTCCAGAATCTCCTCTTCCACCTGGACACGATCTCCACGTCTAGGGCGCCCTTCCCCGTGCCTTGGGAGGAGGTTACCCTCCCTCAGCCGCTGGTATGCATCTTGAAAGGTGCGAGGGTCAGGATGCAACCGATTCGAAAACTGCTCCGCATAAAGTCGGGCAGCTTCTGTTGCAACTCCGCCCGCAACACCGTACACTGCAACCATGTCCGCGTATTTTGCTGCCGTAAACCTCACCATTATCACAGTTAATCACACGGCTGTCACAAAACGAATGACCACTCCGGCAAAAAACAGTGAAAAAATTCGTAATATAAAAGACTGGGGGGGCGAGAACACGTGCGTGCTGGAAAAGGACACGAGATCATCGACAGGGCGATCGCTGTGATTTTCAGATTTTTCGGTAAAAACACGCCCTTCATCAATTTTCTAATAAACAATGGGGTTTCGGAGATTTTTCCATTGATTATTTTTTGTCGCAAATCGAATTTGCAACAAAAAATGTCCGATGGAAAAATGCCGTACGGCCCATCGTTTTTTTTATAACTTTCAAAAACTTTTAAGCAGTCAATCGCAATTATTAAATTAACAATTGGGCCTATGTGATTTTTCCATGACAGTATCTTGTTGCAAATTGAATTTGCAACAAATAATAATCAATGGAAAAATCTCCGAAACCCCATTGTTTATTAGAAA